CAGCCTAAATCACCAAAATCGATGAAAACTTGAACGTTGGGGTAGTTTGACCTCCTGGACATGAATACCACATCCGCTTGAGCCAAAACCGCCCGGCGCCCACGTCACAGTAGCTGGCACTAAAACTCAAATCACCAAAGTTGATGAAAGCATATAATCGGGGGTTATTTGACATCCTGATGACGAGTATGACACTTATTCTTGGTGCCGGCGCTTATTTAAGGCACTGCCCTGAAGGGAACCTCTCCTCCCAGATTCGGCCTTAGCAGAACGCCAAATGACGCTGGTGCCAAGAGGGCATCAAACAGCCCTAATGAGCGGGGTAGGAATAGAACAATAGTGCCAAAAAATGATTGCAAAAATCGTCGCATGTGCAGCTGATTAAAGTTAACGGCAAATTCCACGCTCGTCGTAAGAGTGCCTGCCCAACCATAGTGCCTTCTTAATAGCGCCCATACTTGAGTCCTTTAGCACCAGGTGACTGGTAAAGCGCATCAACGCGCGTTATCACAAAATCTGAACGCAACCTTGAAGGCACATTCTTCGCCAACCATAGCGGTGGATTTACTTGAGCCATTTTGCCCTATTCACTGGCGGTCTCCTCGATTCAGCCATGTTGAAAGGTGGAATCCACCAGTGAGGGAACATCAGTGAGAGTTTCCGCCCATATAGTTAGCGCGGAATGTGCACTTAAGTCCTAGTGTTGAATCAATATGTGTTCAGTAAACTGACCAGGTGCTTTGCTTTACATACAACTCCATAGGCGCCTGTACCTATGGTGTCATCGGCGACATAAGGCGTTCCTTCCAGATGAAAGCGTACGTCCATACGGCATTGCTCTAACATAATCTAAAACAGCCGCAATAAGAACTGAAATGAAAGAAACTCCCAGTCAATAATCATTAATTTATCGTTAAGCTATCAGTGAGAGGTAGCATTCTCTGATAGGACATTCCGAGAGGTTAAGGTAGAATATTGGGAACCTCCTCACCTCCCCCCCCCACCTCCCCTACACCCCCTATGCATTCGAACAATGGGATGAATGAACTTAAAATTCAGGAGACTTATGATCAACCACAAAACAGCGCATTTCAGAAATACTCGACAGTAACAGTTCTTGATAAAAAAATGACAAACAAAAGTCTTGAATACTAACCTATCGTATTGCAATCCCTGAGATCAGAATTTGAGCATCAAAAAAGGTACCTGAAAATGTACTTCATATGCAGAGAGATTAGTAGCAGAAAATTTTTGTAAGGTAATGTGCTGAAAATATCACGGAATGTATTAACAATGTGGATTAAATTCGATCGACTCTGGCGGGCAGCTTATCTTGAACACAAAGAAAATAACCGTATAAAAACGAAGAGATGACGTCATGGCGTCATTTAAGCTATGAAAGACATCTGACGAGGAACAAAGCTGGACGATTCATAGGTTAAGATGTTAGTAGCACTGAGAATGGTAGTGGTAACTGAGTAAGAATTTTGTGGTAGGGACAAGATATCAGAAGGCCGAAGTAAGATTAAAAACGATAGGGTCGCTCAAACCATTTGGAATGAGTTTATGTTATAGAAACACTCAAAACTCCTTCCACTTAGCTCCTGAAGTCACTATTTCTTGTGGCAGCCATGCAAAAATGACAAGGGGAACGTAGTGGTGATGCCTAGGTGGCTCTGCGCTAACGCTATGAAGAAGGAGGATAAAGCTGAGATAGTTCAGGGTCATTTCAAAAAAATCTCAGTTTCAGACTTGGTATATTATTCAGCGTACAGAAATTCGTTGTTGTTCCATGCTTGCCAATGTCACTCGGCGTATTCCTGCGACTCAGGAACACTAACCAAGTCTCTATTCAGTTCCTGGAGATGCGCCATGTCTCTAACATTTCATCAGTATCCTGGACACATCTTATCTTCGCAGTGCTTCGCAGAGCTTACGAAAAATAGCTGAGAGAATTCCATTGATGAGATGGCGTTCCTACTCGATGTCGAAGTGGTTGTATTTGGACTCAAAAAATCTTACTGTTGATTTGCTTTCCTTGCGCGCTATGTACATTGATAGGGGTGTCCCAATAGGGGAAGGCAGAGAAGGGCTAGTAACTGCTCGGGGGAGGTCGTAATTGTCTTCGAGAAAATTTTTCAGTAACCAACCCTCCCTCCCCCCCCCAACTATTTTTCCCTAGCGTTAGTGCTGGCGAGTTCTGATATAACGTTTCCCGGGCACAACAACAACAACATTTGCTCACCTAGTGAAGTTATGAAAGAACTGTTTACCCTGAACAACCCAATTTCGAAGTTTGAGCCAATTTTTACTTATCACAGAATAAACAGACCGACAAAAAAAAGGCTGGTGCGAGCTATGCAGGTGCGCTGGAACCATGCACTTACCGTATTGAACTACCTTTGTAAACCTTAATTTTCAATACAACACAGATCTGGTTCCTGGCAAATTGCCACAACATGAAATTTGTGCGCCGTGTAGTTGACTATTCCACTCAAACTCGCCCCTGTTACGAGAAGGCGAGGAATATTCCTTCAATGAAAATTCTGCAGGCATTAACTTAACGATTCCAACGAAATATCTGTAAGTCCTTGCAAAAGTACTGCTTCCAAAAAATAATTACTTGGTAGTAGAACAATGAGAAATGGTGACCCTTTAGTTTTAGCAAACTCATATTTTCATTGAGTAGTAGGCTATTTCTATACAGGGGAGGGGCAAAAAAGTCACTTCGACCGAGTCACATATCAGCAAAGTTTTCGCAGCCCAGACAGAGGACGTGGATACGAGTACCAGGGCGGAAGATACCCAAGATGTTCCTCTATAAGCAGGAGCTGGCTCTCGCCCATCACCTTCATGTACACCAAAATATGAAGTCATCTCCAGTCGCAGCCTGACTGGAGAAGACCTTTGGAATTCATGTCACCTCCAAACAGCTGCGAAACTTCTAGTATGGAGTCACCCATGGATAGCTACCTGGAGACCAGTACTCTCGATCTGGAAGACCTCCAACATCGAGCAGCTCCGACAACGTCGCTACGGTCTAGGACATCATCTTCACCGCAGTCGCCAAGGCGCGGGTGATGGTATGGACCGGACGTACCTGGAATGGAAAGACCAATATTTTCTTCGTGGACCCGGACTGAAGGTGAGCGCTGGCGGTTACATCGAGCAACTCGAGAAGAATATCCTCCTCACATGTCGTCGCCCGTACCTTCTTGGAAACTTTGTACTGCTACGGGTGCCACCACATGGAATCGAAGGGCGTTGGAAAAACTCTCGCCTACTTGGAATGGAAGGGAGTACCTGAAGAAGATGGAATATCTAAGTGTGTCACCTGACCTAAACCCCCTCAATTACCCGGTTCGGGCGGAGCTCAACAGGGTGGTCTACAGTGGCGGAGAAATCAACTATCTCGCTGAACTCAGGCACCGAATCACGGTCGCGTGGCAGAATCTCTATGGCGCTCCTCCAGAAGGCTGTGGCGGAGTATCATAATAGTATTTAATATGCTGTTAATATGGTGGTAGAAATGTCCGATCAGAATTTAATAAAGTGTAACTTATAGCGCCTCGAAAGTCAAGGAAGAAAAGTCTTTTTTTGCCCCCCCCCCCTGTAGTGATAGTATGACCGTAAATAATGCGGAATAAACTGCATTGAAGAATGAATTTCTTAATTACAGGAAGTACAGAATACAATAGATTTTCATTATAACTCAGTGAAGATGTGCCTCAGCAAGGCTACTCCTTCAGCCCTACAAAAAAAATCCTGAAATCTCAATATTCATTCGCAGCACAGAGCAGTATTAGTGATGGTACAAATGTAGTGTAGGTACATGAACCTTCGCCAGATTTCTACGGGCCACGCCCCGAATCGTTGGAATCGATTAATCTCCCACATTCAGATGGCATAAGTGGGTGAATAAATTGAACGATTCGGACGATAAGGCGATGTAATTCACCGGTCCGATCTTATCATCGATACCATCATCGTTCTGTGAGGCCAAGTGGCCGTCAATGCTTCGCAACTATGGTTTCATGGTCACTCGGAACTTTGGTGATTGGATTGTGATGGAGTGCAATTTCACCTTTCTCATGTCATCTCCAGTCGTGGTCCTGATTTTCGGTTCAGGAACAAGATATAAAAGGGATTGTTTGACCTTTATGCTGAGTCCCATCCCTTTCTCAGGAGATAGCAAAACTCCCACAGAACCCATTTCAAATGCTGTAGCTACCGGTACAAGCGATTTTCTAGGGCACAAGGTAAGCTGAGGAGAATTGAAGTTGAGGAAAATTGAATGTTTGGTAGACATGAATCCCCTACTGCGCACCTCAAGAAGAATAGCAGGCCTAACGTCCGGCTTCGCCTTTACCCCGGAAAACCCGTCAACCGAGTGAAAAGAATGAGAGGTCCCACGTGAACGATAAAGACCTTATCTTTTCCTAGGTCTCCCGACTTCGCTTATCCCCTAACGATAGCGCTCTTCTTAGCACCTCAGATGCAGTGCTCCTCCGCAACTCGAATACGACGCCAGCTGAGGATTCTTCAGCCACAAAAGCTCAGGTGGAGTCATCATGTACTCAAGTTTCTCTCGATTCATAAAAAGATCCAACTTCCTTCCTGCAGCCCTTGTGATGGCGGGGCGTCTTCGTGGGCTTCCACCGACCTATATCGCTAGCCCTTGGCGTATATGCCACGCATTTTCGAGTCGCATCAGTGACACAACTAGTGCAGTTGCCGACCTGCGTCCCCAATACAAGCAAGTCTCTGATTATCGTGGAATTGCATTTTTGAGGAACCAACAGCGCTGACTTAATCGGAGGGACCACTAGCCAGCGCCTCCGTATCCCTTCCCCTGATCAACGCTTATGTTTTGCAGAGACTTTTTCTTCTTTGCGAGACTATTTCTCGGGATTCTGCTCCGCGCTCTGAGCCGGACCATGAGCCTTTCTGGGAGGGAATACAAAGGCCCCCCTTCCTACTCACTCCCCCTGAAAAAGGCTGATTGATTGACTAGTGACCCTGTCAAAGGGTAGTGTGATGAGATTTGCTCATATACCAGCGGTACGAACAGCTAATGTGATGACAATGAGTCAGCCACTATTCAACGTAATCTAATTACAGCATACTGTCGTTTTACAGTGATCATAAAAATTATACAAGAATGCGGAAAATCATCTCTCGTTAGTATCAGTGATATTCACCTCAAAAAAAATTAAATAAACAAAAACAGTTAGCACGACATTCAAAGAATACTTTAGAAATCTAATGGTTACGGAGAAACAAAATCAGCTGCCTGAGAGAACCTAAAGAGATCGCGCAATCGCGAAAAAAGCCACTGACTTTCGAAACGGGAAAGGTAAAAGTTATGAAACGAGTGGGTGGTCTAAAACCTGAAAATCGATGACAAGTTTGCGTCAGAAGTGCCCCAAAACCTTCGCATGCTTTCACGAACGACACTAGTCAGCCTCATTTGGAAAATGATAAGGAAGTATTGTAATAATCTATTCGTGTCACTCTCTCGAGCATTTCGGAATCGTCAGAGCTTTGAGTGACTTACAGGGCACATTCCGCACTCGTCGTAGGGGTGGATCCTGACCTGTCACTACTGTGCTTTCCTGACAGTTGCGTCTCCTTCCCCACCTTTAACAACTTGAATGAACAAAAGGAGGAAAGGCACGGCAGTCTGAAAGGCGCAATGGTAGAATAATCCGCCCATATGACCAACTCGGAATGCGCTTTAAGTTGGTCGAAACCTTCACTGAGACGACGAAGCTGCAGTTTAAAGACGAATTTCATATATTGTGTACAGTGGCGTTCAATTACAATCCTACCGATCTGTCGTTAAA